CACTCCAACCCCCGCACTCCAACCCCACCCCCAACCCCCGACGGGACCCCGTGGGGACACCCAACCGAATGCCAAGCCCCGCGACCCCTGGGCTCGCAACCCAGCTGCCAGCAACCTACCCCGGCCCCCGCTGCACCGGCTCCACAACCCCGGGATCGCCGCCCACCAACCTGGCCCCGCCCCCGCACTGGGAAACCCCGCACCCGCCAAGGGGGGTCCGCGGCCCCAGGGGGGACCCTGTGTCGAGGCATTTTCTGCACAAACCAAAAAATGCCAAGGGTTGCACGACGGCGGTGCGCACCCACAAGTTTTTTGTTTTTTTTTCCCCCTCCGGGGCTGGGGTCTCGGGTGCCCACCCCCGAACCCTCGTCAGGGTCCCGCGGCTGGAGGTTGACAACCCTGGTTACAATGTCGGACTTTCATCTGGAGGATTCAAGGGTCGAGACCGAGAGGCGGCAATGCAGGAATATCAGAACAGTGTGGAGGGCCCGACGAGGCTAACCCCCGCAGTTTTGCTGCTGCAAGGCCGAAGTTATTCCTTTTACTTAATATTAATATGATTACACCAAGACTGAAGGTGATCGGCGTACATACGAACCAGTGGGTGATTAGCTTGCAAAGCTGAAGGGCCTGAATGGCATGGGCCATTTCTGCATGCCCGATGAGCTTCGCCCTTCACTAACCATTTTGTGTTTTTCCAATTTCGGACTTTGCGCAATGCTTTATTGGGCCCAATAGAAGAGGGCAATTCATAGATAGCATCCACAATCATTTCAATGACGTGGCTAATGATGTATCTTTCTTCCAAACTCAGCGCTGACCAATGTTGAGTTTTCATAAGTTGAATGATTTTGTGTATTTTAACTTCATTTTGGAAAGAGTTTTTGGCTTATTGTCCGCGGTCGGCTATTGGGAGGTTTTGAGTGTGAGCATGCCACTGAGACCCAACAGTCAAGGCTGCACCTGGGCTCAGGGCAGCCCAAGATACTCTAGGAAGGTCACACGGCAGTATAAGCCGTAGTCCGCATGGACTCCCTGCCTAGTACGGGTTTTAAGTCTCACATTCGAATCCTGATCAGTACCACAAGGATCTGTATTGGGGGCCTATTTTAGCCTTAGTGCGCACGGCTGGCCTTGCAGCAAGGCCGATACCCTCCTATTCATCGTTACGTAAGGAAATCGCCCCAACAACCGTGGCATAGGCTGCGAACCTCGGCGCTACGCAGTCTTTCGAAGCGAAGAGGTGGCAAGTGAGTAGATAAACATTTCGAGCGGATTCCAAACTTTAGTAACCAACATCCTGTTGTCGGGCGGCGCATCGTTGGAGTCTCTGGGTTAGCGCATGAGTGGTGTCAAGGCAGGCAAAGGAGAAAGGCAAATGTATTCAAATTGAGAGTCGCGCTAAGTACGTTGGGAAGCGGAGCTGAAGATGGCGGAAGGTAATTCGGGTATGGGGGGAAAGAAAGTTGTGTAACTTAGTGAGTCCTCGATGAAATTTGGCACGGGAGAAGGCGAATTCGGGGTTCTCACCCCATGCAAACCGAATCGTGAAGTTGGAATCTGCATTGGAGTCATGATGTCAAGGCTACGTCGGTTGTGAACTGTGCATGGTGAGAAAAGGCGAGTGATGTGCAGCGGAAAGGAGACTGCGCGTGCAAAAGAAGAGTCGTCGTAGGGGTTTTGAGGGTTGGAGGGCCTGGATCTGTGGTTAAAACAAGACTTAAGCTAGTGCAACAAGAAGCGGAAGGGTAAGAAGGTTGCGCGGCGATGGCGGAGGCAAAGAACGGAGGAGCGAGGGATGGACAGTGAATCTCGCCCAATTCTTATCGAAAATTGGCGATCAAAGATGTTAGACTAAGGTCCCGACAGATTGGGAGTTCGATGGTAGCGACTAGTTATTGTGATAGGATGGCGGTTACGATAGTACAGACTTCAGGGACTGCACGTTAGTAGGAAGTGTTTATACCGAAGAAACTGTCGAAGATGAGCCTCGATTGTTCCTTCATGAGATCGACCGAGGTAAGGCTTAGTAGCGAAGTTCAGACCTGAAGCGCGACGGATTATAGAGTTAGCTTTTGGGGTAAGTAAGTAGATATGGCGTAGTGAGAAGTACTGACTGCGAGGAGTAAAGGTAGTACGGGCGCGCAAAGAAAGGGGAGGAGTGAAAGTGGTGCGAGCCTGAGCTCAACTGCGGGAGGCAGGCACTTACCTGTCAGCGAATTTGCCTGAGGTACGAACAAGAATATACAGGGATGAGGGAAAGTGTTGCCGTTTAAAGTGGTGATAGTGGCTTCGATCGAAGTGTTTGTTTGCATGGTCACGATCGGGACGTACGTACGTACCTAGCTAGCTTTCAGCACAAGATTCATTCAAGTCCTGCTCTTTCTAAGAAGTATGACGCCAGTCGATGGCCTGGAGACTTACCTGTCGGCCCGTGCATTGTCTGTCCTATCGAAGACAGTGGAGTATAGCCCGTCGTGAGGTTGCAGTTTTGTTGGTTAGGGCTCTGCTTATCCCACCGAACTGAAATAAGCTGCAGGCAAACTGCGAGATAGAGACTTGTCCATTGGCGGGTGTGTTGACCAGCTTGTCACCTGGGGTAGTGGGAGACAAGCAGTAAGGTTGGAGGCTTACCTGTGGGCCAATGCGCTGTTTTCAAGCAACGAAGAGCAGGCAACTGCTTGAGAATTCGCCTAACGATCAGTAACACTGTATGTTACCAGACAAGGTGGTTGGAGTGAGGCCAGCCACGAGGTTACAGGGTTACCCATTGGCCGACGCCCAGCCCATCACACCACAAGAAACTGCCAAGAGATATACTTACGTGCTAAACGGGGTGACGTGAGGTAGGTGGCGAAGGAAATAGATTCACTCTTTGGTTAGCAGCATGGTTCGCAGTTGAACAAGGCCACAACAGGTCAGCAGCGAGGTGCAGACTAGGCTGAATGGTCGAGATACAGTTCACCCTACCAAGTGAAGTGGTAAGGAAGGAGTTGCGGGCTAGCAGACTTACCCTTGGTACTTTGGGTCACGGGCTTTGCGGCGGAGTTGGTTTCGATCAAAAGAAGAAGAGGGTATTGTTGTGATCTTGGAGAACCACCAGAGAGTCAAGAGCCAACAGTTTGACTTCAGTTGACCAAGCTGCTGCTGTGTCTTGGCTGCCATTGCGGGGCCCTCACGCGTATCAAGGAACCAAGGCCCTCTCACGCGAGTCTGAAAGCACCTCTCCTGGATCTGAAAGACTTAAAACTTTCTCCTTCTGCCCTTCTTACTCTAAATCTAGTCTGTTGGTTCTGAGAGGAAGGCGGCAGGCAAGATTGCAACCCGTAGGACATCATCAAGACTCTGTGGGGAGTCCACCCACCGATTGTGGGAGCTCTACCGGAACCTAGACGAGGTTCTCGAGGCAAGGACCAACAGGTATACTTCTTTTCATCTGTATGAACCCACTACACCCCTGTTTGATTATCTCCCTCTTAATTTGATTGTTGTATGCATTTGTTCCCCGAAGACTTTTGCGTTCTTCCCAGGACTGAATGGAAAGAATGTGTGAGAGTGAAGTTTAAGTTTCTTCTTTATTTTGACTGAAAGCAGATTAAGGGATGAACTGGAGGAAGGTGGGAGGAAGGCAGTTTGCATGCGTTTGACCGGGTCAATCAAGGACTGGGTATTGTTTCTAAGCTGAATGGCTCAGGGCTATATTTATTTGGCTATTTTCTGAAGTGTCGGACATTGTTTCTAAGCTGAATGGTCTGGTTGCTGTGTTTATTTATGTGGGTTTGCTTGGCTGATCTTTGGGACCAAGCATTGCTTCTAAGTGAATGGCTCGGTTTGTCTGTTTCTTTAAGGGTTTCTGACTGAAGTTGGGCTAAGGGATCCAACTTCATGTTTTGAATGATTTGATGATAGGTTGAATATTGTTTCAAGCTGAATGGTTCGGCCTCTTGTTTTATTTATGAGGGAGGATTTCTGGTCTAAGGTTAAGCATTTTTTCTAAGTTGAATGGTTTAGCCTGAAATGGTTTTCACCTTTTAGCAGTAGCCGATGCAGCACCAGGGTTCGATCCCTAGACCTCAACCTACCCATGTACAGTATCTGTGTAGACCCCGAGAATTGAACCTTTGACCTGTGTATTCGTAGACAGTTGGTAGGTCTGTCGTAGGTCCAAAGGCAGCAAGGGTTCGATCTGTAGGTCTATAGCATAGAAGTCTTAGTGAGTTCCAGAAGCTGAGCTGTAGTCCTTCTAGAAGGTAGGCAAGTGGGCAAGTGGTCAAGTGGCGAGGCAAGTGGTGGACTAAACTGCAGTGCAATCGCAGTACAACGTCGGTAGGATAGCAAGTCCACAGTCAGTCAGCGGTACGGTCCAGTCAGTCCTAGTCCGGTCCAGCAAGTACCACGAGGGACTATGCGCACCATGGGCCGATGGCAAAGGGCAGACCAACGAGTTTCTGAAGTATAAATCAAGAGGCAGCGCCCAGCCATTCATTGATTCCTGCGTGAGCCAAGCGGATGCGCTGCCACAGCGAGTTGTGCAAGGAGGTATGCAGATGAGCCCGAAGGACGCAATGGGCGAGAGAGGAGGAGTTAGTATAGCGATAGGTTAGAGGCAGCCATAGCTGCCAAAGCTGTAGTTAATAGGAAGTGTGTATGTGTGTGTTCGAGTGTTCAGAGTGATGCATGTGGGATATCCAGGGTGATCCACTGTGTGTGAGCAGTGAGTTGTTTGGGCGCTGAAGTCGCCATAGCCAATTAAGAGTGAGCTCGTATCTGGAAGCCATATCTCTGAGTCTTGTTTGGGCGCATGTCGCCAGTTTGCTGCGTTGCTATTCACATGCATGAAAAGTGTGTTTGAGAACGAGTCTGATTGCATTGATATCGGAGTTGGTACCCGCTATTCCATGCACGCCGTCGTATGCAGGGCCTGATGCGCCATAGCAGAGGTGGCCGCCGAAGGTGATAGTCCGCCATAGCAGACCTGAGGACGAAGAAGCCGCCGCGCACCTGCAAGAAGACCACGACGAAGAAG